TGAAATTCTCATAAATGCCATGGTCTATACTAGACAAGACATCCACTACACTGTAGGGATAGTCAAGAAAAATCAATCCAATCCCGGACTTGAAAACTTGTCTGTTAAGAAAAATATCATAAAGTGTGATGACCCTTTGGTGGGTGTGTTATGGGCGGGTGCGAGACACTGACAGGTTACCACACTGGCGAGCTACGGGTGCATAATCCCATATCGCCTAGGAAAGGGAAAGGTGAAGTGCTTATATGTAAGTGTGTCACTCCAATTGGTATGAGACCTTTTGAGGTAATGCCCAAGAGCAAAACTGTGCGGGCTCAGGCCCAAAGTGGACAATATCATACCATGTGGTGGAGTGAGTCGTTACAAATGGTATCAAAGCCTGACCTAGCCAGAAGTGTGCCAACGGGGACGTCGGGTCTCCAAGGGGGGTGGATTTTGATGACCCTATGGGCGAGTGTGTCGTGGGCCGGTGCGAGACACTAACAAGCTACCACATTAGCGAGCTACGGGTGCACAATCCTATATCGCCTGGGAAAGGGAAATGTGAAGTGCTTATATATAGGTGTGTCACTCCAATTGGTATGAGGCCTTTTGGGGTAAAGCCTAAGAGCAAAACCATGCTGGCTCAGGCCTAAAACGGATAATATCATTTCATGTGGTGGAGTGGGTTGTTACAAATGGTGTCAGAGCTTGACCCAGTCGGAAGTGCGCCGACGAGGATGTTGAGCCTCCAAGGGGGGTGGATTGTGATGACCTTGTGGGTGGGTGTGTTGTGGGCGGGTGCGAGACACTGATATGCTATCACACTGGCGAGCTACAGGTGCACAATCCCATATTGCCTAGGAAAGGGAAATGTGAAGTGCTTATATGTAGGTGTGTCACTCCAATTGGTATGAGGCCTATTGGGGTAAAGCCTAAAAGCAAAACCATGTGGGCTCAGGCCCAAAACGGACAATATCATACCATGTGGTGGAGTGGGTCATTACAAATTGTATCAGAGCCTAACCCAGCCGGAAGTGTGCCGACGGGGACGTCGGGCCTCCAAGGGGGTGGATTGTGATGACCCTGTGGGCGGGTGTGAGACACTGGCAGGCTACCACACTGGCGATCTACGGGTGCATAATCCCACATCACCTGGGAAATGGAAAGGGAAAGGTAAAGTACTTATATGTAGGTGTGTCACTCCAATTAGTATGAGGCCTTTTGGGGTAAAACCCAAAAGTAAAACCATGCGGGTTCAGGCCCAAAGCGGATAATATCATACCATGTAGTGGAGTGGGTTGTTACAAATGGTATCAGAGCCTGACCCAGCCAAAAGTGTGCCGACGGGGACGTCAGGCCTCCAGGGGGGTGAATTGTGATAACCCTATGGGCGGGTGTGTCATGGGAGGGTGCGAGACACTGACAGGTTACTATACTAGCGAGTTACGGGTGCACAATCCCACATCACCTGGGAAAGGGAAAGGTGAAGTGCTTATATGTAGGTGTGTCATTCCAATTGGTATGCAGCCTTTTGGGGTAAAGTGTTAGAGCAAAACCATGAGGGCTTAGGCCCAAAGTGGATAAAATCGTTAGATAAAGTACCTTAGGAGAACCAATGGTCTCATGCTCAATTATGGATGTGATGATATGGTCCTAGTCAGGTATGCTGATTCTAATTTTAAATTAGATGTAGATATTTTGAGGTTCATGACTTGGTGTATGTTCACTCAATAGAAGAGAAATCAGTTGGTAGTGTTAAACAGATTTTGACTGTTGACTCAACCCTTAAAGTGGATTATATTGCAGCCTTAAAGACAGCAAAGGAAGCCTTTTGGTTTGATCTCACTGATTTAGAGGTTGTGGAGAATATTAGCCTGCCTTACAAGTTATATTGCGACAATAGTGCAGAAGTAGCACAAACCAATGACCCGAGGCTCCATAGAGGAACAAGGTACATTGAGAAGAAGTATAATGTCCTATATAATATTAGCCGGCGAGAAAATGTACTTGTGGTTGAGAACATTACATCGGAACACAACTTTGTTGATCTATTAACAAAGGTGTCATCGATCAATAGTTTTGATCATCACCTGGATAACATGGAAGTTAGATGCATTCGAATTGGCTATGAGGGGCAAGTAGGAGTTGTTGGGATTTGTATGCCCTGACATAGCGAATTCCTATTTAGATTAAAGTGACATATATTCTTAACATATCTGAAATATTTATGTTTTATGGTGAATTTAATATATTATGTATCGATTCATTATGGAATTGATAGTGTCTACTTGATTACAAGAGATATTTATATGTATGTGATAACGATCGATACATGAACATAAATAGTAATCATAAATAGTTCATAGTTAGTAATTATGGTTGGACTCTTAATTAACTAAGACTTGAACTGGATTCACATTAGGATGAGATATATTGCGAGAGTCGTCGTATGCAAATTACTCCCTGTCACTGTCATGACATTTGACTCTTAATCATGAGAGAAATATAGGCTGTTTTATTAATTAGTAATTACTTTAATTTGTTCGGCGAATTCTTCGAAATCCAAAGATCGGCACTTTGAGTAATTATGTAATTAATAGTTAGAGAGTTATATTCTCAATATTTGCATCATTGTTACTTGTATTTATTTTGTATTGATTATGATTGATCACAAAGTAAATTCGAAGGCGTTTGTGTGTTTTAGACAAAATGATTTTCTATGTATATTTTTATTTAAATTATTATTTTTATCAAACAAATTTTTTATTATGGTCAAGTCGGAAATAATTAAAGGTACAAAAATAAATATATTAATTTAGTAGTCGGATTAATGGCTTTATTTATTCAATAACTAATTATGCATAGAGGGGTTAAAATGCAATAATGACTTAGAGATTATTTATTATTTAATTGGAGTTCAATAAATTTCTTTTAGTGAAGTAGAAATTAATTTATGAATGAATTGAATTGGGTCCATGGTATAATGGATTAGGCCAATATTATTTCATTGTAGATAAGAAAAGAATAAGCCCAAAGGATTCTCACTTATAGCCCAACTTGATATTGGAGGCTCGTTAGATTTAAGATATCACGTGAATTTTAGAGATTGAGAAAAATATATTGTCTTCAATTACTATTTTTATTTTTCCTATATATACATGGGTCCATATATATTTTAAGTTACGTCTTTGTGCAATATTTTTTGAAGACAAGAAAATATTTTCTCTCTCTAAGATTTTAGGGTTAGTTTTCTCATCTCATGGAGGCTCATACAAGCTAAGCTCTCCAAGGCAATATCATTACCAAGAAGATGGAGTTCCAAGGAAGAAGCATCTAACTAAGGGATCTACAATAAGTGAGAACATTCACTTTAGATAAGAGATTTAAGGTTTACTTAAACCTTGATGTAAATTTTATATCTCTAATTAAATGGATTATCATATTCTTTATGCATAAAACTTGTCTCTACACATGAATCAATATCTTTATTTGAAAATCTCTCTTAAAGTTTTTAAAACTTCCGTTTCCCTAACAAGATTCTCCTAGACACATCTCTACTTTATATTCATTGTCTACTTTATATTCATTGTCGACAACTTATGTTGCCTAAAGTGAGTTACAATGTAAGTGTGCCTATATTGCTAGATTTTGAGTTGTTAAGCATAACTCTTATTTGTAGTTTAGTTCTACCATAAGATTCAAAGGAGGCTGTGTTGGCAAGTGAAGCATTCAATGATTCATTTTTCGTATCGAGTAGAGTTATTTTGAGGTAACCGAATTGCGCTTCTGCACTTGTTATTTAATTTTCCTATTAAAATAGAGTGCCATCAATTTCTATATTATGTTATAAAAGAAAAATTAGTTGACATATTTAAATAAAAGGTAATTTACACTAATCTTCTCTGAGGTTTGGACAAATGACATAGAGATAGATCGTTCAGTATTTATTACTTTGACATTCTCTGAGATTTTGCGCGTGTGCTCAGCAACACTTTTCTTTCCAGAAGACATGTTGACCAAATTTTATATTTTATAAAATGAAAATTTTTTTATTCCCTTATATAAAATGTGTATATATAATATATTTTATAATATAAGGACATAATTTATTTTTCACAATCAAAGTCACTTTTTTAACTAATAGATTTAGGGAAGATCAAAATAATAATAGTTGAACAGTTTAACTTTGTGAAATTATCCAAACCTCAAAAGAGATAAGAGTATTATTTAGCTAACTATTGGAATGCAACGCCTTAAAGTTGTCTCTAATATATATATATATATATATATATATATATATATATATATATTAAATCAATCAATAAATAAAATCATGACGTTCATTTATAGATTTCTGTCCATATTCAAATATGGAATAAAAGAACCCATCACGTCTTCTTAAGGCCAGCCTCAATTCGTCATGTTACCGTTTTTATTTTTATCTTGTAAATACGTTTGGGACCACATGATACATTAAAGGAGAAAATGATTCATAGCTATGGGACAAGTTAATTACCCAAAGCATAAAAACCACTTGGGAAAAAATAGTTGATTCAAAATCTGACAAACTAAGCATCAATTAATCACCGACAGCCTATATCTATATGGATTTTTTTTATCTCCATCATTCGTTTTCGTAAGATACCATTCCAGTCTCCATCTTGGATGCTACCTAGCTTAAACTTACCATGTGCTTGCTCTGCTATGTATAATGATTTTGACTACCGCAGTAAAATATTTCAATTTTCATATTATCTGTAGACCTCTTATTTTTTTCAGTCACAGTCCTTTTTCAAATTACTATGTGCTTGCTCTGCTATGATCTGCCACTTACATATGTTTTGTATTTGTAATATTCGAAATTAAATAGGGTTAAAAGTAGAGCTAATTAACTTTTTCTAGTACTGTTCTCTCTATATCCCTACAATAATTAATTAAAAATGTTTTCCTTTGGAAAATTAATAAACATATACACACTGACAATGATAATCTATTCCAAATTTGTTACATTCATTAGAAAGCATATACTAGTATATGACTACATTGGGTAATCAAACACTTTTATTAGGAGGTCAATTATACAGATGAACCACAACAGGGCTTATAAATGTAAATGATCGAGCAAACCATAAGATGATAGCTACATATATAATAGTATTTAATTAACTTAATTCAGACATGCTATTACAAACACATTCCAAACTACGTACTTATACTGATACCAGACTCATAATATGGTACAGATTGGTAGGAATGAAGACACATAGTTATTTGCATTATTTTGTACTGTAACAAATAGCTAGTTAATAATAAGAAAGCATGGTGTATAGTGTGGATAAAAAAGTGAGGACAAAGAGGATGATAGCTGCAAAGACTGATATGCCTGACCACGGATTACCAAAATAGTATTGTCTGACCCTTCTGGTAGAAAGCCGCCAATGATTGCAGAAATTCATCGCATCCTTGTATTGCTCGCCGTAAAGAAAACGACGCGGAATGGCATTCCTGCAAATACCATTGAAAAGTTGGGCCACTTCTTCCCTTGAACCTAAATTGTTGCGTATGATTCCTGCTTCCTCCAACAGTTTAACATCTTTTGGGGTGTCGATGAGGATATCCATGAGAAAAGCAAATGATGTGAAGTATTTATGGATGAAGTGGTAACTTTGCTCAAAAGCAATGAAGTTTCTTAAGAAAGACTCGGTGGAATCAAAAATAAGGAAAGATGGAATTTCTAAGTGACCTTTTCTAAACAAAGAAGAACAGCTAGTACAACTAAAAGCAGTACTAAACTTTATGTGGAACAGGTTTCTCTCTTTACCTGCCTTCAATTCGACTCCCGCCAAGCGAAGTTCCGTTGCCGAGTAGTTGATTCTGTTTTCTATAATTTCTATTCCATCATCTTCCTCTTCCATATCTTCCTCTTCCATATCTTCCTCTTCCATATCAACCCATATGCCTATGCGATTGTTTACATTATCATCATCAGTCCAAGCCGGCAGGTACTGAATGTGCAAAAGATGAAGTATATGAAAAGGAAATTGGTCTTTTATGTGTTTATATTTTTCAATGCCCATTATATTTCCAAAAAATTTAAGGACCCATTGAGTAAGGGGGCTGGTTCTAGGCCAGATTTCTTTCACTATTATGTCAAACAAGTCTTCAAGAACAAAGAAAGGAATCTGATTCTCCAGCAATAGCAAGTCACGTTGGACCGCATAGCACTTGAAAGGGTTAGACAAAATGGGGTCATATTGCTTTTTCAAATTTCTGAGTAGAAGTTCAATGATGAAACAACCATCAATAAGCATCACTTCTGCAAGCCAGCTGTTGGGACTGTCGCCCGACCAGGGCGGTAATCTGGCCGGCTCATAACACTCCCTAACTTTTCCTGCCGTCTCCAACATAGCCTTCGAACAATTTCTTTTTGTTCTTTTAGAATCTGCAGTTCGTGCAAGCAGGGCACGCGTGTAGCTCAACTTGACAGGCTCCATTACTTGAAGACGTTCTGTCTTTCTGTGAAGAGGGCCAATAGAAACGGTGGTAGGGGTATAGGCGTTTACATTTTGCTCACGAAGCAGATCTGGAACCTTGTCCATCAACATATCATTTTTTTCACTGCACTCCTCCAGGGAATGCAAAAACGAAGACAGTACTCCATCTTTACACGACTTATCACTTTGTTCGCTTGACATCACCGATCTCTTACTTTAAAATTAAGTTTGAACCTTTCAGGGCTTCTGTGTTGAGCATGGCAAGACTCATGGTTTTTGTGTGACCGGTGGTTTGCTGTATTTAGATGGAATTCATTTTGGTCCCTCCTTTGATGGTGACAGAAAGTGATAAAAAGCATAAATATTCACAAACAACAAAAGTTACCTCCAATTCACAAGATGTGATGGTAGAAGAATCTTATATTTTTATTGATAAATGAATGATTGATTTTCTGGTTTGGTTTTATAATAAATAACCATAAAATTGTAAATGAAACTAACACTAAAAATAAAAATAAACCCAAAATAAAAAATATCTCTAAAAAATTTTGAAAAAAAAGAAAGAATAAGAAACATAATTACTATTGAATATAAAAATTTAGAACAACCTGGATTTGTTTAGGTCTCAAACATAAATTCGAAAATAATGAACAGATGATTTATAACACAAGAAAACAGTATTTCGGAGCCTTAAACGAAGATTTTTAGACGCAACATGACATGCTACTGGGTTTTTAATAATGGGTCATTTCCACCCCAAAAACACTTCTTTTGGGTCAGAAATAGACTTGTTGAATTGATTGAAATTCTGTCCTACATCAATCCCCACCACTTAAAAAAACTTCGTCTGATTGTGAATACCTTGAAATCTTGCCTACCACAAAATTATATTGTTCATTGTTATGAGAACGTTCAAAACACGATACCAAAGTATTTTCATTGGCACCTTTCGGTATAAATATTTTTCGTTTACAATCTACTCAAATAATGATACTTAACCAATTTGAAGCCCGAATTCATCCAACCCATCTTGGACATGCAATTTATAATTTTCTTTGACCCAATCATCAATCAATACATGTTGCTCACCTTCAGCATTGAAATTCTTCTCACCATCTTCTTCTTTTGAAGTGCTAAAGTCATTTTTTGCATCTACCAACTTGTGTAAAGGAATTAATATTTTCAAATCATTGACTTCGTCTTCTTTAACTACAATAGGTGAAGCACCTTAATTTCTCTCTTGATCAACCACAATAATGCCAGTTGTTGCCTTAACAAAATTATTATTATCATTGATGCCACTATCTTTTTTGTGAATCTCCTTTGTAGACTTTTTGATAGATAGACTCTCTTTCTGAAAATTCTGATATTTTTTATACATTATCTCTTCATAATTTGGTGGAGAAATTTAGCCATGAATATTTGTTTCATCTTGTACCACTACTAAATAGGCTGTGATCATTGTCTCATGTGATAAAATTGAATTTTGTTCCAACTAAGCTGAAGCCCACCCTTTAGGGTTAAAGGCAACAAGTGGAATTTGCTTATTTTCAGGTACATCAAAATACTCAAAAAAATCTTCAACTTCTTCAAGCCAGTCCAAGACATCATCAATAATAATACTCCCATTGAAATAAGTTTAATCATGTTTTACCTAAAATGTACGATTGTTGGGCCTCCTATTAAGCACTGAATGTTATACATTTTAGCCTCTTAACTTGTACGGAGTATGTTTTATTCTCTTAGTAGTAGTTTATTTGTGATTTTACATTGTTTTATTATTTTTATTTATTTCAAGGCTTTAATTGTAACATCAGTTAAGAAGAGTGATTTCGAGCTTTAAAAGATGACATTCCGTGGGATCGAGTAATGATGAAGATCTAAGTTTAATTAGACTTAGAAAAGAGTCAAAGAGAAGCCACAAGTTGATGAGAATGGAAAGAAGAAGAAAAGGAAGAATCCTTCTCTAACTAGGAAACTTTCTTCAAAGTTGGTAACTTGAACCCATTTTGGTAATTTGTCTGTATCTCTCTACTTGAGTGTTAAAACAGCTAAATTCTCATGATTGTTGAAAGGAAATTTGAAGAGCTACAAATTTGTATTTCACGAGGATTTCATAAAATAGTTGTTTACCTTGTCAAAACTGGGCTAGAAGTCTGTATGAATTTTAGAATCCTTGTTTGGCAGAATTTTTCATATATGTCTTCTATGTGAAAAAAGGAATTTTAGGGCTGATCTTCTCTTATTTAAAGGGAGTTCTCTACATTATTAGAGCATTATATAGAGGAGCTTGAGGCTGATATCAGAGGAGAAGCATTCAGAAGAAAGAAGGGATCAATTCATGGTGGTGAAGATGTCTTCCTCAACCATAAAGAATTCCACTCCAGTTATGCTTGGCTAAACGCTTTGCTAGGGTTGTGATGTAGCTTTAGCTTAGCACTACTGGTTTGATTGTATTTATTTATTGGAGAACAATTATTATCATGCATGATTATGTAATTTGAAGGATTTTTAATTGACTTTTCAATAAATTTTAAAGTTTTAATCCAATTACAAATATTTTTCTATCTTATCTTAGATATTTGAATCATATGATTGAACACAACTCATTCACTTCTTGTAGTTATGAATGAGATGATTATATAATAATTTTTCTCTGAATATAATGTTAGAGATTTGATGGATTATGCCTAGAAAAGATAGACCATACTACACCCTAGAGTAAAGTAGTTAGGTAGATGGTTTATGCCAATAGAAAATAATCCATGCTTAGTTTTAAATTATATTATCTTCTAGTTGAATTAATATGTGCTTGTAGCCATGATTAATTCCTTATGTATATTATATATATATATATATATATATATATATATATATATATATCTCTAATAAATTGATGCAATTGACTGGTGGTGTGACGTTAGTGGTGAAGTCATCCCCCTAGTTCTCTCTTTTTATTTTCTACATCTTATTTAATCATTGTTTTGTCTTTTATTTTTCTACTTAGTTCATTTAGAATCAATCATCAAAATTTGGTTATCCTATTTTCAAGTTAATTGGGAGTTTGAGAAATCTGTTGACAAACTTTATTAACACAAGTCCTTTGGGTACGTCATCCTTATAAGTAAGCCCTATCTGTAAAGATTCGTGTACTTACAAGTGGTACATATAAATCTCACAACAAGTTTTTGGAACCGTTGCCGGGACTTGTGTAACGACCCGAACCCAGGGGTTCAAATCGCTAACCGGGTCCTTACCTAAACCTGAGGTCATGCAAGGGTACTATGGTCATTTCTCATTAAATTAATACTTTAAGGCCCAACAAGGGCAAAATGGTCAATTAAACATAATTATGATGGTTTAAGACCCAAAAGGGTAAAATGGTCATTTACTAAGGTCATCCAATGATTATGATGAAGTCCGGGGGTAATAGGGTCATTCCTATGGTTAAAATATAATTAATGTATTTTATTGGGCCATATAGTAGATCCTCGCAACTTTAAATGGGCGATAAGGGATAATTAGGGAAACTAAATCACAAATGTGTAAAACAGTAACCGATTGATGTGTGAACACTACACGTCGACTGGTTTAGGACAATCGGTTGACGTGTGAGAACTTCACGTCGACTGGTTTGGGTCATCTACAGTGAAATTGCTCACTGCCCAAAAATAAGAGATACTAGTCGACGTGTAGCTTCCTACAATTCCACTCATACTTATGTACCCAAATAGGATTATTGCGAATATTATTACAACGTTAGAATAATGCTTTGAAAAAAATTATATTATAGGGATGCAATACTATTGCTACCAATTACATACCCCAAAATAATAAAAATTACATTGTCATTAGAATAAATACAATTACAAAATGATTAAACTCCAAACAAAACAAATAATGAGGGTTATAAGACATCAAATGTCACTTCCTGAATGGTCTACAATGGTGAAGATGAATCGTGGTATTGTCTCGAGTCGAGTGCTCAAAAAGTAATTAGTGAAGTGGCCACCACATTTAAATTTTTTATAAAAAACACTTAACACTTATGCTATGTAGCATGAATTGAGAAGGGATCATTCCAAGAGACCGCAAGTGTATTTTGGAGTTAAATTCGAATTAGTAGGTTGAATGATCAAAAGAGGGGTTTGGTTTCGTTTATACAACAATTAAACTAAGGAACATGCAAAAGAAACAAGCTAAAGATGATTAAGGTGAAAGAATAGGAGAGAGGTCTTAGGGCATAGGAATCACCACTAAGCCCTTCCTCTAACCAACTAGTCTTTGATAAACTTGGGGAAATTCAACGTTGTAAACCATATGTGTGCTACCAATTGAAACAATGAGCATGGATGACAAAACAAGTGTGAATTGTCTACCTAAGCTAGTGTGTAGCACAACTCATCAAGTTAAGATATTAACCATTCAATAAACTCACATTTGTAGCACACAACAATCTAGAGAAATGTACATCTTGCAAGAATAAGCATGGATCAGCAAATAACAAGCATAGATTGTCTACCTATCTAGCGTGAGATATTATTTTGTAATTGACAATTATCGTAAACAAAACAGTCCAAGTTGAGTTGTAATTCAAGTTACTATATCGGGATCGACGGCAACTACGGAATTAGAAAGTTGTTCAAAGTTACCTTAAATGAAGATCATTTAAAGAAAAAGGTAAAAACAACACATTAGGAAGGATTATAAACAGATTAGGACTCTTTTTACACTTGGTAGTTATTTTAAACTTACCATATAGTGTTTTCAGGCTTAAAAGAACTAAGTTTCAAGTTCTGGTCAACTTGAACCTGTTCAGCCCCTCTGAACTGGTTCAAAGCTTCAAGATTGGATTCGAAAAACCAATCTGCCAAACTTGAACCAGTTCAGCCCCTTTGAACCAGTTCAAGTAGTCCTCACAGTAATCCAACTTTCAGTTTCCTGTTTCAAAATTGTTTCCTAGTTCGTCTAGAATTGTACCAAGTCCTATGCATAAATTTTTTCATATTTTCAGAGGGATTAGGACATTCTAAACTCTATATAAACCTTGTCATACACATAGGTTTATTCACGGCTTTTGCATTATCAATTTATTATTCTTAAAAGCTTTAGAAAGATTTTAGTTGCAGAAAGTCTTAGAGATTTTTCTGTTAAGTCTTTCTAGAACACACACATATTCACACAGTGATTTTAGAGTTGTGTTGTTCAAATCCTGATCGTAATCATACAGTTACATCTACATTGATCAGATAAAAGCATATCTACTTCTATATCGAATTCAGACAATTG